GAGAAATGAGAAAGATAGCTTTCCTTGTAGGTAATCTCCCAGTCAAGAGGCCTTTAATGAGTTATTATGGAAGTTTTTTTTTTTAATTTGACAATTTTTATAGATTTTTTAAGTTTTGTAGGGGTACAGAAAAGAAGGGTGGATACGGGGGGAAAGCAGGTAGTTTTATTCATCATACATTCCCCAACATGAAGCACCATAAAGCGCATTACTCTTCTCTGTTGCCCTTAAACTATAATACTGCTAATGAAGCCATGTAGTATGAGTGTTGTATGTCAATGATGTTAGGTGTATCGTATTTGGCCTAGTGCACAGTAGGGCATGGGCTGTTCCTATGAGTAGCTTACCGGGCCTCAGGTAGGTCTCATTGTTGTTAGGGGGAGGCTTGTGGGTTGTTATTGAGGGTGGGTGAGGAGGGGGAGGGCTGAGGTCTGCTTAGGTTGCCCTCTATTTCACGAGGGCGCTATATGGGCTATGCATTGTTTCCAGGTGTCCCACGCTTTACACCAGGGTTCTGCATTAGGTTGTGATCCTCTGGCCATCAGTTCATAAGTGCAGCTGGTTTCTACTGTGTGTATGCATTGGGTCATTTTGGGTGGTTTTGTGTCTTTCCAGTGTCTTCTGATTACTGTGAGGGCAGCTATGAGTATGTGGTATAGTAGGTATTGTTGCATCCTTTGCAGTCCCTTCAGTGGTAGCAGGAGTAGGAATGTTTCCGGGTTGAGGGGAATATGTATATCCGTGCATTGTCGTGCGAGATGTGTGACATCTTGCCAGTACGTTTTGAGTTTCGTGCAGTACCACCAGGTGTGTAACATTGTGCCTTTGTCTGATTTGCACCTCCAGCATGCATCTGATACATTCGGGTTGCTGCATTTGAGGCGTGTGGGGACTAGGTACCATCTGTATAGTACTTTGCGTGATAACTCCACATGCGATGTGCATAGGGTCATTTTTTTCTGGGCTTGTAGTATTCTCCACCATTGGGCGTCCGTTAGTCTATATGAGAGTTCTTTTTCCCATGTTGCTTTGAATAAGAGAGTGGTGTGTTCGGAGGCGTATATGATGGAGATAAGTTTTTTTGGTGGTTTGAGCTGGAGGCATATTTTTTCCACTTCTGTCAGGGATGTGTTCAGCTTCGCAGGGGCCTGTTCTTTGTTTTTCAGCTTGATCCAGGATTGGAGTTGGGTATATGAGAATTGAGCTACAGTGGGTAGATGGAACTCTTCTTGGAGGTCCTTGAATGATTTGAGGTACGAGTCGTGGAGTATTTGGGATAGAGAGTATACTCCATGTCTATTCCAGAGCCTGTGATTGAAGTCGGGTATCAGGAGTGGCACAGTTGCTAGTGGTAGAGCTGGGGGGATATGTCTTATTAGGCCTTGCTTAGTTCTGTGGTTTTCTTATATGCTGAGATTAGGGGGGCTATGTGAGCAGCTCTGTAGTATCCCATCACATCAGGCATGCCCATGCCACCGTGGTTGAAGGGTTTGTACATAATTGTTTTTGCAACCCTAGGCCTTTTGCGTCCCCATGCGAATGAATTGAGGAGTTGTTGCACGACTTTGAGATATGGCGTTGGCAGTTTGATTGGGAGTGTGCGGAATAGATATTGGAGCTATGGCAAGAGTATCATCTTGATTGCTGCTATTCTGCCGGTCCATGATATGTATTTCCCTTTCCACCCTTGTGTGGTGGATCTCAATTCATTCAACAGTTTGATGTAGTTTGCTTTGTGTAGTTTTGCTGTTTCTGGTGTTATATTTACTCCTAAGAATTAGACGTGGTCTTTGCGCCAATCGTATGCATAGTTTCGCGTAAGGGTTGTCATTTCGTTTTTTGGGATGTTTATTCCTATGGCCTGTGTTTTGGTCACATTCAATTTGTAGTAAAAACACTTGCTGTATTGTTCGATGAGTTTATTGAAATTTGGTAGTGATATATGAGGTTGTTCCAACGTTAGTATGATGTCGTCATCAAACAGAGCTAATTTATGTTCATGACCTTCAAGAGTGATGCCGTGGATGTTCGGGTTGTCTCGAATCATCTGTGTTAGGGGTTCCAGCGCTAGGATGTAGAGGAGTGGGGACAGCGGGCAGCCTTGTCTGGATTCATTGGAGATTGTGAATTGGCGGCATATGAAGCCACTATTAACCACCTTGGCCATTGGTGTTGAATATAATGCCTTGACTAAGGATGTGAGCTGGGGGGAAATCCGAATTTGTTGAGCACCGCATGTAGGAAGGGCCAGTGCAGTCTATCAAAGGCTTTTTCGGCGTCAAGCGATAGCCAGAGGCTAGGGTTCCCCTTCCCCTGTGTGCCGTGTAGTATGTCCAATTGTTTTATTGTGCCATATGCTCCTTGCCGGCCTCCCATGAAGCCAACTTGATCTTCGCCCACAATCGCGGGGATAATTGGCACCATACGGTTGGAGAATATTTTGACTTGACGTAGCTTGAAGTCCGTATTTAACAGAGATATGGGTCTTAAGTTTTGGCTTTTGGTCGGGGGTTTACCCGGCTTGCGGAGGGTTGCCACGTGAGCCATTAGCATTTCTGGAGGCATTGTGCCCTGCTGTAGGATATGGTTAAAGGTGATTTCTAGATGCGGTGCCAGTGTGGTGGCGAATATTTTATAATAAAAATTTGATAATCCATCTGGGCCCGGAGATTTCCCAGATGGTAGTGCTTAAATGGTATCTAAAACCTCCTGCGTGGTGATAGGTTGTTGTATAACTGCAGTTTGGATGGGTGTCAGTGTTGGTAATGTGGTTTTTTCTAAGAAATTGGTAATGTCCTGCAAAGTTGGTTGATGCAATGTTGTATCCTCTTTGAGATTATAAAGCTTGTGGTAGTATGCCGCCATCTCATTATTTATATCATGTGGATTGTGTATTTTGGCACCTGTGCTGTCTATTAGGTAGGGGATCTAGGCATTAGCTTGTTTCTGACGGAGCATTTGGGCCAAATTTTTCCCGGCTCTATTGCCTTGCGAGTAAGTTTTTTGTTTTAATTTTGTCAGTATGTGGGACGTCTTAGCTAGTGAGATTGCATTGATTTGGTTTGTGTTTCGGCTATTGTCTCTGAGTGTGCCTCCGATGGCTGGAGGAAGTATGCGTTAGTGGTGTCTCTTAGTTTGCGGAGGAGGGTAAGGTATTGTTGCCGTGACTGTTTTGCTAGATGTGCGGCCCTGCTAATCAGGAGGCCTCTGATTACGGGTTTGTGTGCCTGCCATATAGAAGTTATGCTAGCGTCTGGGGTGTTGTTGAGATCAAAGTATGTTTGGATGTGCTCTGTGAGGCGTTTGGTGTATTCGGTGTCATGTAGTAGTGTCTCGTTGAGGTGCCAGGGGGGTTTGCCTCTGTGGTTGTATCGGTCTTTCAGTTGCACAGTGGTTGGGGCATGGTCGGACCATGAGATATTGCCTATGTCGCAGTGGGAGATATTGGGGAGAAGTGTTCCTGATGTGAGAATCACATCAATCCTGGAGTAGGTCTTGTGGACCTGAGAGTAGAATGTGTAGGATTTCTCAGATGGGTGGAATATTCTCCAGACATCATACAGACCATATTCCATAAGTAGTTTCGTAATTGCTTTGCTTTGTGTCGACAGGGTTGCGTGCTGATGTGAGTCGGTTGGAATTGTGGTGTCTATGCAGGAGTTCAGTGTGTGGTTGAGATCCCCACATATTATCAGGGGTGTGCCAGTGTTCTGTGGAATTTTGTTCAAGACCTTTTGCAGGAAATTTTTTGATGGTCGTTGGGGCTGTAGATCCCTACAATGACGTATTGCATAGTGTTGATAAGACAGTGCAGTATTAGGTATCTTCCTTGACCATCTTTTTTGATATGGAGTGTTTCGACTGTCAACGAGCTGTGGAATAAAATGGTTGTGACAAAATGTGTTTCCTGGGCACAGACTATGTTTGCTTCGTAGCGTTTGGCATCTTTTAATAACATTCGCATCTTGTGAGGTATGTTGAGGCCTCTGGTGTTGTGAGAGTATATTTTCATTGTACTGGTGAGATGGTGTGCGTGTCTTGTACCTGGTAAAGTAAGGGGGTGGTCTGGACCTGGGTGTGGTAACTGCTCCCACCCTATTCCCCTTGTCTGGGGCCGGGTTGGGCATAATTTTGATCTGGTCCGGTTCTCTGCAGGCTCTGCCGTCTAGCCAGTAGGGGATGTATGGATCCATAAGTGTGATGTCTAATATTGTGCGTGGGGCTCGCTATGGGGACTTCCTGGATTCCAGGGGCACAGTGAGGTGGCCTGATCCCTCTCTACAAAGTGGATTAATTTGCTATATGCGTGCGCATCTGGGCTCCCCCCATCTTGTACATCACCGTAAACTGTACATCTTCTAAGGCTTTCAAGGCCCCGGGGTAATGGTCATGCGCTCTCTTAGTACATAGTGCTCTAGGTTCATAACTTGTGGATCACATGTTAAGATTTTGATTGCTCTTATAGTGTGTTTGGGCCCCAGGGTCAACTCTGCAACTCTCACGGTTTGTGTGTCTGTGTGCGTGGTTTGCTCGGGGGGTTCACCCGGTTATCCCCTGCACTCAGTGTCACAAGGAGCCCCTTGGATCATATGTTAGGTGAGCTGCAACTCTAAGTTAGTGTCTCCCTTGTGCCTCCTCACCCTACATGTCCCCCTCGATGCATAAATAGGGTGTTGCTTTCAGTCCCCCCACCCGCCAGCTCCCCCCCTCAGGCCGGGTCCCGTCGGAGCGGCCTTGGGTGGAGCGGGAGCGGGGGCAGGCCCTGACCTTCTCCCGTGTGGTCTAATCATTTGGGTGCACTGCATATTCTCTTCAAGGCGGAACTAACTGTTATGCCAGATAGCCCACTTCGATCCCCTGTGTTGTCAGCATTATCCGTAGTTACAGCAATTCAACATTTATGACTTTAACTCAAATATTAAACGTTGAACTGTCCCAACTTTTGTGCCATAATGCCTGGAAGCGTTAATGGCTTCTGGCGGCTAGCGTATACATGCGGCTTAGTTGATGTCTGCAGCGTGGCCCAGTCCAGGAACTTGTGCCGTACTTGGAGGTGCAGTGTGGCACGGAGACATGGCGGCTCTCGAGGTCTGTCCTGTGTGTAGGCCCCACTCCTGCAACAATTTTTTCCCTTCTTCTGGGGTGTGGACCATGACGTTTTCTCTGCCTTTGGTGATGCTCAATTTTGTGGGGTAGCCCCATCGATATTTGATGCCCAGATTTCGCAGTTCAGCCATGACTGTGTTGAAGGTTCTTCTTCTGCGCAGGGTCGCCGCTGACAGATCCGCCATTATGCGCACTCCGGGGTACTCTGGATGCGGGTCAGTTTGGCTTCTGAAGGAGCGGTGGACCAAGTCTTTAATATGGAAGTAGTGGGCGTCGTGTAAGGGAGGTAAGATTCTATCCACCAGTAGCATATCTGATGGAATCCCTGGGGCGTAGGCGTGCATTAGGCCCCTGGCGTAGACCTGGAGGTCGCTCAGTGTGATGGATTCTGGCAGGGCCGGACTGGGGATACAAAGCAGCCCTGGAAAAAAAAATTGTGCCAGCCCCATAAGTCACTGCGCCATATATTGTCGCGTGTAATATGTAAGGCTATGTCTTGCCAGGACAGATGATTGATTTATATATATATATTGCTTTTTCTAATATAAAATATTGGTCATTTCAGGGTAAAACATTTAATTATACAGTAAGCATACTCACATGCAGACACAGGCAATTTCACTGACATTTCAATGACACACACAAGCTCACTGATACACAGCCAAACAATCTTAGTGATATACATCAGCTCATTGACATAAAAACACAAGCTCACTCACTAGCAGGCACACGCATGCAAGCAAGCTCACTCACTAGCAGACGCACACACACAGCTTAATGTGGTGGTACTGGTGTCTATAGCATGTCCCTACAGGCTTTTCAACGTAAACACTGACTTTTCAGAGAAAAGGAAGTGTTTACATTGCTTCAAAGTGACACTGCTAGTGACAGTCACTCAGACGGTCACTAGAGGTGCTTCCTGTGTTAGTGCACCTACATTCAGGGCCTCCACACTCTGTAGGTGCTGAACGTTCCCCATAGAGATACATTGATTCAATGCATCTCTATGAGGAGATGCTAATTGGAGTGGCGTTTTGCAGCCAATCCTATGGCAAAGCATTGGATTGGCTGAGATCATCAAGCTTGATGATCTCAGCTATAGAGGCAGGGCCAGTCGAGGGGAGACCAGCACGCTGCGTGGGGGAAAAAAAGGTGAGCAAAAACACTATTTTTAAACACACATTTACACCATGACAGACACAGAAACACACATATACCATGACAGATACACACCCCATGACAGACACACCATGACAGACCATGACACAGACAGACACACACCATGACGGACAGACAGACACACCATGACGGACAGACAGACACACCATGACAGACAGACAGACACACCATGACGGACAGACACACACACACCCCATGAATGACAGGCAGACACACACACACCCCATGACAGACAGACACACACACACACCCCATGATGGACAGACACACACCCCATGACGGACAGACAGACACACACACACACCCATGACTGACAGTAGACAGACACACACACACCCCATGACCTGACAGACACACACACACCCCCATGAATGACAGACAGACACACACACACCCCATGATCTGACAGACAGAAACACACACACACCCCATGGATGGACAGACAGACACACACACACACACACACCCCATGACGGACAGACAGACACACACACACACATACAGACAGACACCATGACACAGACAGACACACACCCACCATACAGACAGACAGACACCATGACACAGACACACACACACACACACCATACAGACAGACACCATGACACAGACAGACACACACCCACCATACAGACAGACAGACATCATGACACAGACACACACACACACACACCATACAGACAGACAGACACCATGACACAGACAGACAGACACACACACACCATACATACATACAGACAGACACCATGACACAGACAGACAGACACACACACACCATACAGACAGACACCATGACACAGACAGACACACACACACCATACAGACAGACACCATGACACAGACAGACACACACACACCAGACAGACAGACACCATGACACAGACAGACAGACACACACCATACAGACAGACATGATAACACAGACAGACACACACACACACACACACCATACAGACACCATAACACAGACAGACAGACACATTACTAATACCTGCCAGGGGGAGGTCTTCTGGGGCCCGCTGGGGAGGTCTTCTGGCGGCCGCTGGGGGACTTGTCCTGGCGGCCGCTGTGGGAGCTGCGCTGGCTCTGCTCTCCCGCCCTCGCACGCTGCTGAATGAGACCAGCGCCGGAATATGACGTCATATTCCGGCGCCGGTCTCATTCAGCTGCGCGCTGGGGAGCAGAGCCAGTGCAGCTCCCCCAGCGGCCGCCAGGACAAGTCCCCCAGCGGCCGCCAGAAGACCTCCCCAGCGGCCAACAGCAGACCCAGGTGTCTGCCCGGCCCCAGGTGCCGACGGCCCACCGGGAAATTTCCCGGTATCCCGGTGGGCCAGTCCGGCCCTGGATTCTGGGACCCCTCTGAGGCGTAAATTGTTCCTCCGTGCCCTGTCCTCGGCATCAGCAATGCGGGTTTCCATGACATCCAGACGATGTTCCAGCGCCTGCACTTGGTCTGCCATTCCATTTTGCACCGAGGTTATTGCTTTGTAGTCGGCTTCTATCCGGGTCGTTCTGGTGGAGAGGTTGGCCACTTAATTTTTGCTGTGATTTGCCAAGTTGTAATTAGTTTTGTGGACATCGCGTCCATAGCGTTCTTGAAGAAGGCTTTGGTGAGGGCATCGGAGCATTGCATGGTCTGCAAGCCGGCCGCGTGGTCGTCGCCTTCGGCCGACACTTCCCCTTCGTGGAGGCCAGTTTTGTCGGGTTCAAGCGTTGTGGTTGTTTTCTGTCCAAAAAAGTTTTGTTTGTCTCCTTTGGTGGAGGTTTCCTTGCTTTTGTTCTGAGACATTGTTTTGGGGGATTTTAGAGATTTCTGCTGTATTATTCCTGTATTGTTTTGGAGCCCTTGTGCCAGAGCAGATTAGTACGCTTCCATCTTGCTTGGCGGTCAGCCACGCCCCCTCATTATTATGGAAGTTAACCACCAGCATATCAGAGAGGTTCTGTCCATAGAACTGAAATGTACATGATATGCAGCAACCGCAGATATTTATTAATAAGAATTTGTTCCAAAAATGGTGCCACCATTTACCATTTAATTAAGACCTCCATTGCCTACTTATGGCCGCGTAACTGACCAATTTCAGAGATGCCAGATATTTACCAATTTCTCACCACAAGATAATTTAGCTCAGTCACTAATTGAGAGGTGAAATGTTGTGCTACTTTTAATATAAAACTTAACCAAGAAGTTATTATGAAAGAATAGTAGTTTCTTCATCTACTTCATGTTCTTTCGACTAGTTTCCCAGTGGGGCCAATTTGCTAATATTAAGCATTTTTGAGCTAAATAGAATCCAATGAAGACATAGCCATGTAGCTTAAAAAGTTTAGAACTGAATTTCAAATTAGTAATGGTAACAATAGGGTCCCCAAACAGAGAGAATTCATCCTAAAGAGCTAATTAATTGGGAATTATTGCTGTAGAAAATACTTCTATTATCTTTGCAAAGAAAGAATACAGTATTTGGTATTAACAGATCTCAGTAGAATTCCTGATAACCTTGCAAAATCATATGTGTTTGTCTTGAGTATGTTGTATAAGCGTTTGAAAAATATTGTTTTAGGTTCATTTCTTATGTCATAATTAACTGAAGGCAATATATATAAATATATATATATATATATATTATTTTAATCAAGCATAAAAGGCTGTGCAAAGGAAATGCGTTGGGAATATATTAGACAAATGTACTTATAGCTTAGAAACCATTTAAATGAAAAAGAATTATATTGTTACAGGCATCAAGAATTCCTAAGAATAGCTGAGAGTAGATAATGTATGGTAGCACAGAAAGCTCACTAAAAATAAAATCCAGAGTGTCTGCATACATTGGCGACTATTCTGTGTACAGAAAAAAAATAACTAACTTGGCATTTGGTGACAAAAACATAAAAATTAATCATTAACCACAATAAAGAAGATCATATTAAAGGTACATGTATCACTTGGCAATAATTTTGCAAGGTGAAAATATATTCCAACTGCACATGTGTAAGTCTGTCAAAAATGCCCAATGCCCCAACATTCCTAGGGATAAGTCGTCTATAGGTTAGATCAGTAACCCGCCCTGATGTGGATGTGGAAAGCATAAGAAAGAAAAATCAGATAGATTTGAAAAAAGAGGTTGGTCCTTCTATCTGCCTACCCAGCCCCCGACAACACCTTTAAATTTGACTTGTGCAAAAATAAGTTTGAAGCAGTTTATCCAAATTAAATTCCTGTTAAATCGATACCAGAATAAAGTAATTCCAAATCAATTTCACCTTTAGACTCCACAGGTAAAACTACAGATAAGCCAATTCAGAATCAATAGATTAGGCGATTACCAGTTATTGAAACAAATTGCTTAAATCTAATTTTTGTCTAATAGAAATTCCTTTATTGAGACAGATTCAGAGCGTGTTATTAAAATTAATATTTATGTATATAGCACCAATAATTTATTTGAAAATAATCTAATTATAGGATGACTCAAGAGTCACTGGTGCAAGTTTGAGAGAGTGTACCCCCAAACTCCCAATGTCAGAAATAAACCAAAATCAAAATGAAGATACTGTACTCAACTGAAACTTAAGTATTGCATATACACAAAATTGTTTTTTATTAGCATTTTTTAGTACAAAGTGAAAAATACTAATTAAAATTTTTTTTTTGCAAATTTATTATTTGAGTACAACAATTTGTTTGGCATGCCTGCACCACAAGATGTATCTTCATGTCAGGAATATCACATTCACATATTTGTTTACCTGACAACTACAAGTCAATTGTTTTTAAAAAAGTAATGGAATTGTAACCCACCTTACATGGTGTCCCCTTACCACTGGAGGCACATAGAGCTTACCCACTAGAGAGACACCCACGCGGAAGATTAGGGACTATAAAAGGTGAATGGAGACGTGTCAGAGGGGTACCTACCGATCACCTTAAAGAGTTAGTTCTTTCATGAATATTGTCACATGTATCTATTTTTTGTTGTGCCATCTGTTCTAATTTGTATACTGACATACGTTTCTGCTTTACCAAAAAGTGTGGACGCAATCCACACCAAAAATAAAGTTTTTTTTGTTTTTTTTAAAGTGATCATGACAGTGACTTAAAGGGACACTCCAGGCACACAGACCACTCCTGTCCATTGGAGTGGTCTGGGTGCCAACTCCCACCACCCTTAACCCTGCAAGTGTAATTATTGCAGTTTTTATAAGCTGCAATAATTATCTTGCAGGGTTAAGTCCTTGTTTTTAGAACACTAAAGCGTTGCCGGAATCCCCATAGAATGCTTACTATGGGGAGGTCTAATGCGTGCGCGTGGCCATTGCCGCACATGCGCATTAGGGCTCCCTGGTAGGCTGAAGTCGGTGAGGGAGGAGCGTGGGCGGAGCCTGACCCAGCGTTGAGGGACATAGGCACTGGATTCAGGTAAGTCACTGAATGGAGTTTTAACCCCTTCAGCAACATGGGATGGGGGGCACTGCAGGAACCTGCAGTGTCAGGAAAACAGATATGTTTTCATGGCACTGGAGAGTCCCTTTAATATTGAGCAAAGATGATACTACCTATGAAAGTGTAGCAAAAGTGTTATTTTCCTTTTGCAATAAGAACAGGTGTCATTCTCTATTGGTATTATATACTTTGTGTTCATATCCAAAAGAAACAATTTTGTTAAAATGGGATTAACAAACAATCTAGAATTTTACATACCGATTTTAAATACAGGTTTATCAAGAAGTCTCATCTAAAATTCTCGAGTAATAATCAATCTTAGGTATCACAACAACAAAAATATAAAGCTTTGATACAATAGGAGAACCTGTTTGACCTTAGATGTGTTTCAGGAAAGGAACATTGCCATTTGCTTGCATTGAACATGAGGAGCAGAGACCTCCGGCCAGCTTGTGCAGACATAAGCCAAATTTGCAGTTGGGTAAAGCTTCTGCTTTCTCGAACATTGTTAAATAGGGCATGCAGATAAGACATTAATCGGTACTTATTGTTATTATTATTATTATTATTATTATTATTATTATACAAATTTAAGTAGCACCAACATATTTCACTGTACTTTACAATAATATAAAGGGGGGATTTGGAGGTAAAAAAGGCCATGCTCAAACAAATTTACATCTATAAGTTTTTATTAAAATGTATAATTTGCTATATCAAGATGCCATAATAAATGTTTCTCAGGCCACACCATCCCCTATATCACCCTTTAGGAATAAAATATTGAAGGAATGTTGTTGGATAAAAATCAAAGATATTTAAGAAAAGTCCTACAATTTTTCCATTTATATGTCCCTACTGGAGATATGGCACAACATGCTCACTAGATTGTATGTCTCACCTGTTCAGATTATTATTATTATTTTATTATTTATATAGTGCAACCAAATTCCGTAGATCTGTACAATGGGTGGAAAACCAGACACGTAATTGTAAACAGATGAATAAATGCACAGGAACAGAGGGGTTGAGGGCCCTGCTCAATTAGTTTACATGCTAGAGCAGGGCTGTCCAACCTGCGGCCCCCCAGATGTTGCTGAACTACAAGTCCCATGATTCTTTCAATTAAAAAGATAGCCAGTGAATCATGGGAGTTGTAGTTCAGAAACATCTGGGGGGCCGCAGGTTCCACAGCCCTGTGCTAGAGGGAGTGGGGTATACTGACACAAAGGGTATAAGTAGGGGTAATGAAATAGGTTGCTAGAAAAGTATTTAGAGAAATTAGGTTATTTTTGACAGATGCAGGAGAGGAGTCATGTGGGGGGAGGGGAGTGGATTGAAAACCCACTAACAGTTTAAATGATATGCTTTCCTTAACAAGTGTTTTTGAAGGAGTGGAGACTGGGGGAAAGTCTAACGGAGCCATGGAGAAGTCTTGGAGGCGAGCATCAGATGTGGGAGTACGGACAGAGGATAGACGTAGGTCTTTGGCAGAGCGCAGGGGCCTCGACGGGACATGTGTATTAGGAAGGATAGGTAGGTTGGAGTAGCATTATGTAGGGACTTGTAAGCAAGCACCAGAATATAAAATTGAGCCCTATATCTAAGTGGAAGCCAATGTAGGGACTGACAGAGGGGGGAGGCGTGAGACGTGTGGGCGGAAAGGAAAATTAGCCTCACCGCTGCAATCATTATGGATTGCAGCGGTGCAATCTGGGAACACGTAAGACCACTGAGTAGGTGATTGCAGTAGTCAAGTTGAGAAAGAACAATGGCATGGACCAGCACCTTAGCTGCCTCCGGTGTTAAACAGGGGCGGATGCGAATTATGTTTTTGAGATGGAATCTGCAGGATTTGGCAATCGACTGGATATGAGGGGTGAAACAGGAGGTGGGGAGGGAGGACCAGAGCAGAGCAAAGCAGAAACCTTTTCCGTTGTAGTAGGTGCGAATGAGCATAGAACAGTGGAGTGAGTGGGGTTGGGTGATGATTTGGAAGATGTATTAGAAGAGGAGGGAGAGAGGTTAGAGATCTCTTCCCTGATTGTAGAAATCTTCTCAGTGGAGTGAGTTGCAAAGTTTGAGGCGGACAGGGTGGTAGGAGGAGGGCGAGCAACGGGGCAAAGTAGAGCATTATAAAGTGTGAAATAGGCATTTGGTTTGGTGAGATAGTGTGCTTATGAGGGCATTGAAGTCGTTTACTTTTGCAGAGGAAAGAGCCAGAGTGTAGGAGCGCAGTATAAATTTATAGTGGAGGAAGATGCAGGTCACACTCAGAATTCTGCTGAAGGAATCTTTTCATCTCTTGTGGTAGCACTGGCCAAAGTTCATTCCCATCTGGA